AACAACAACAACAACAAGGTAATTTGTCCTCCCTTCCCCTACGGATACCCATAAATCAGGATTAAAATACTAAAGGCGGTTCATGATAGGAGATGTACTGGTATAGCGCTTAATAATCTGTGGTTTATTAAATCAGGAATATTCTGTCTTGTTTTCTATATAATCTCCCTCTTGAAGTAGTTAGTGAATGACAATAACAACATGTTGAGTGTTTCAATTACAATTACCATTACACTAAATTAAAGGGCATTTTTAAGGAATCAGTGTTAGAACTATTTCTTAAGTGACTTTTGGAGTCTAATATCACCCAAGAATAAAATATAGTACTGTGCAAAAGTTTTAGGCAGGTGTGAAAAAATGGTGTAAAGTAAGAATGCTTTCAAAAACATATATTGTAATTGTTTATGTTTATCAATTTACAAAATGCAAAGTGAGCAAACAGAAGAAAAATGTAAATCAAATCAATATTTGGTGTGACTGCCCTTTGGCTTCAAACCAGTGCCAATTCTTACACTTGCACACTTTGTACACTTGCACAAAGAACTAGATGCTGGTTACAGCACTGATAGTAAATGTGCATTGCTAAGGAATTTTTAATTTTTTTTTCATACTATATAAGAGATTTGATAGATTTGTTTTATAAGTTCTTTCTACATGTCAGACAGAAAAGTAGATACTCTCTTTTTGAGGATCTCAATGCTATTCAGCCATGACATTCTCAGTTTTCCTTTTCCTCTTCCTTCATTTATTGGTTTGGGAATTTAAGAACATAAGAACATGATATTGTCCTGCTGGATTGGACCCCTGGCCCATCCTCTTTCATTCTCCACATGACCAAACCACCTCAATGTATTTCATTTACATTGGTCATTCACTTTTGTGTTCAATCCACATTTATTCTTGATCCTATTTTTTCTTGTTTTACCACATAAACTTGTTAAATAATCTACCCTCTTTGCATTCACCTTCCTTGAACTATCCACTATCTTTCTACCAGTATTTGCATGTCTTCTCCATTAATTTCCCCATCTTTAGTAAACATTCTACCAAGATATATAAATTCATCCACTTGCTCTAGTTTTTGGCCATTTATGCATAAATGTACAATCATGCATTGCATTTTTCCTGTCTATCATAATAATTATTAGTCTTTAATAGTTTACTTTTCAGATCCATACTTCTACCATTTTACACATTTGCAAATTTGTTGGATTCTCTGCCAGCAACATGGCACCGTCTGCATATAAATGGACATGCTTATTCATGTCCTAGCTAATGTACCTCAAACCTTTGGAATAATTAGCTTGAATTTTGTACTCTTTTAAATTACTGGCAGATTGTTTTAAAAAGTGAAACAAACTTCTTTTGACTTTAAGATGCAGTTAATATAGTAACAGAAAATAATTTATTGGACTTCTCAAGTAATGTTTGATAATAAATGCTTTCAGTCTCCTTGATGATGGAAATTTATTTTAATAATTGGTACATTAATTCTCAGGACTTGGGATTTTCATACTATTGCAACATTTTAGTTTGAAATTCATAGAATGTAAATATTGTTTTCACAAAAAATTGCAAAAGAAGTCTATAATATAGAAAATATTAATGTACCAAGCACTGTAGATACTTAGCACATGGGAGATAATTATTATACAACATTGTAATGACAAATCTGTATCTAGGTTGTAACAGTTGTTGATATATGTTTTTGTCAGCGTTTGTATTGATTTTCTTTTAATAGGGGCAGCAAGAAAGAGGATAGTTTATTTTATGTGGGAGATACCTTTAGGAATTCCAATTAATAAGGAGATTTAACATTCCAGCCAGTGAGCTGTGCAGTTCTATGTAGATTATGGGAATTAACATCTAAGCATACTTTGGTTTTAATAGAGAGATTTTATATTGGCAGCTAATGTCTTGTTCAGTAGAACCTTAGCCAAAACAAATATTTTCCAAATAACAGAAACAGTAATGTTGTATTTGGACTTTATTATATTGGAGGTGGCATGTTCTCATACTAAATGATCCTTGACACCATCTGGTAACATCCTATGATTGTCTCTTCCACTTGGAC